GAAGCTGCCTTACACTAAGGAGTACATTCATTAATTCAACCATTCTAGTACTGTTTACTCGGGGATTCAGATTTTCTAGGCACATTTTTCTCTACTCATGGACATGCCAGGGGCTGATTGTGAGACTCTCTGTATTCAGAAGAGCATTATGTTGTGGCTTTCGCTCCCCAGGGTGAGCAAAAGTCTCCAAATGGTCTGACATTTTGAAAGTCATGTCTAAGAGACATTGATTTTTCTCCTTGTCTGTTTCTTGTTGGTGGTCATCCATTGAGCAAAGAGCAAGTTTGAGGCCTCCCTTCAAACTTTTGCTCTAGCCTTAGGTCAGGAGGGGTTCCACTGTTCTTCAGGTCTATTTTATTGGTAGGAAAGAAGCAGAACATCTTCAACTGATATGCAGTTCACCCAGGAATTTTTTTAAGCAAAAATTCCATATCAAATAAAATTTTGCAATTACAGTTTACTCAAATGATTTACAACTCCCAGAATTTATAGCACATGACCAGTAGGTGAAGGCACATGGGTATTGTTATGTATTAAATGTTTACAGGCTCCATTTTTCAATTAAGAATTAAAAAAAAGAAAGATAAAGACAGCCTAAATTAGAGCTCAGTTCCTGATAGCTATAAAGAAATGCTCATGTTTGGAATCTTTGGCAAAGAAAATATAATCAGTTTGCCATTACTTTCTTTCATTATAGTTCTACATCTCTCAGAATTTTCTGTTGGTCTTTCTTTCAAGGACTAACCAGGCCGAGAAAACTGCCAAATCATTGCAATTCTCATGTGACCTTATTTGCTATCAGTGGCCAGCATTAAATAAGTTCTAAATACCCCAAGTTTTAATTTCACTACATACCCATGTGGAGGAGAGCTATAATTAACTGTAATTAGGGGAAAAACTACAATGAACAAACTTTTAAATAGTTTTCAGTATGTTTTATATATTTATTGATTTTTTAAAAATTAAAGTTGTATACAGCCCAGAATCAATTTTTGTGAGTTGGGAGGCCATACAGATTTGATAAGTAAATAAATAAAATAAGTGCCAGCTCATTCACAATTATGATGCTTTTCCATATGTTGTGAACAGTTTTGAGTTCCCTGTTATAAGGCTCTCAGTGCTTTTGGAATATGATAATGGTGTCCAAATAAGGCAAGTGCAACAAAGTTTTGCACATCATTTAGTTGAATATAATTTTGCAGATACTGTATGTATCTAAAAAACTAAATAGATCTTTTCAATCATCATCCAGTTAGATCGTGGATGCAAGGAATATTATTTTCAAACTGTTACTGGGTGTGCCATTGGAAGACCTGTAAAAGCTGGTTAGGAATAGATTGTCATGGAAAAAATCTACCAGTGTGGTTGCTAAGAATCAATAAAATAACTTGATGGCATATTTGTGCGTGCATTTGAGTCAGGGTTGACTCCTGGTGATTGCCTGGACAAGTCCATGCAATTTTCTTGGCAAGATTTTTGGAGTGGTTTGCCCTTGCCTCCTTCCTAGGGCTGAGAGAGGTATGATTGGCTCAAAGTCATCCAGCTGTAAAATGGGATTGGAACTCACAATCTCCCAGTTTCCAACCAGATGCCTTAACTACTACTCCAAACTTACGGCAATCAAGTTGGCACATAGTCAATCTATAATCTGTGAAAAGAGAATTTCAAACAAAACAGTGAAGTGAGACTTGGTTCCTCATAAAGTGAACAGAGATTTGCTCAATTGTTTGGAAAGTAAAATAATCTTTTAATTAAACATTTGCCTTTGAATTTGGACTATCCCAGAGTAGGATTATTAATGTAGAGTTATTGCATCATGTAGATATTGACAAGCTTCAGAAAAATGTGTAAAGTCAAGAGTTTAAAATCCTCCTAATGACCAATGAGCTTTTAATCCAGTTCACAAGAAACAAATAAAATAGTTCAGATTATTTTATAATTAAATGACAAAGTATGTATTATTTTTTCCAATTGTATTTTAATAATTGGCTAGGAGTGATAACTTCAGTAAAAATAAATGTTTTCAGTTATCCAAAACTCATTATAAAAAGTCTTTCTCTGATTCATCTCTCAGTTTGAAAAATTGTATGGTTCAGGTCTCATTTTTATGAGTAGATATGATAAGAAGTAGACATGAGTAGATAAGAACAATCGCTTTTTGAAGCTGCTATACAAGTGGTAGGAAAATTTATGGTCTTGTCTGTGCCTGTATTATATACAGTCCATCCATTAGCAAATTATGAGACAATTCCATTCATCATTTAGACATATATCTCAACTTCGGTTTCTGAATCTGGAAAGATTGCCCATATGGTGCCAAACATTGTTTAAGCCCTGCATTTATTGCCTCTCTAGAGTTTAAGAAATAAAATATATGTTAGATTGAGGAGTTTAAAAGGTCTTTTCCATGCTGCCTTGTGTACTTGCATTGCATAACCACATCTCTATTTTTATCCTAATATGTTGGGAGATATTCAGCTGACACTCCCATGGTGATGCAGTATCAAAAATCAGAAAAAGACATGACTGAACTAATAGTACAAAACATATAGCCTGTACTAGCTTTTCCCAAGCTGGGTCTTTTAAACATAGATGTCATGCCCCTGTTGGAATCTGATTCTGAGGGGGAGGTCAAGCAGCTGACAGGGAGTGGGAGTGTGGCTCCGGTGGCTGTGGAGGAAACTGGGGAAGGGCACAGTCTGGCTGAGCATTCAGAGGAAGACCCAGGTCCACCCCCTCTTCATCCTAGGGCACACAGGGAGAAATGGAGAAGAGAGCAATGTGAATTACATGGGTTATGGGGAGAAAAGGGCCCTGATTTCCTTCATTAGCTGCAGCTGTGAAAACAGGATTTAAAAAGGGTGTTTGCACACAGCACCTTGCTGGAAGCAAAGCATGCATTATCTTTGTTTGTCAAGTCTTATCTGGGTGTGTGTGTGTGTTTCATTATCTTTTGAAGTCTGCAATTCCTTATCCTGCCCTGTCTCATTAATTGCTGCAGCATGGTTTGTGTTGGTTTTTATTTATAATTTATATGTACTTTGGGTTCGGACTGAATTTCTTCCCTTTAAAAACTGTTCTTGGGAGAATTTTTCCTCCAGCCAATGATAACTGGAGATTGGGGGCCAAGTTGGAGGTGTTAAAGGGACTTCACCTACTTTTGTGCCTTTGTTATTTTTGTGCCATCACAATAGATTACAACTCTCAGTATATATAATTGACATGACATTCAGAAATACTGGTACATAGTTTTGAGATTCAGTGATAGTGATCTGAAGTGATTGGTTGCACTTTGCTGTAGGCTGACAGAGGCCCTCCAGATATGGTTGGGTTCTTAGTATTTGCAGATGTTTCATTACCAGGCTAGGAAGTATCATCATATTAAACATCTATAAGAAGACAACCAGTGGTAGCATTCAGCCAGTTCGCACCACTTTGGGAGAACTGGTTGTTAACTTTCTGAGCAGTTTGGTGAACTGGTTATTGGAAGAAATCATTAGAGCAGAGAACCGGTTGTTAAATTATTTGAATCCCACCACTGAAGACAACCAAATCAGAGAGCTCTAAGAACTCAGCAGTTCATCCCTTTATGAACCACTTCTACTGGAATATTGCTACTGCAACTCTCAACATTCCTTACCATTGACCATACTTTGCATGGATTCTGGAAGTAGCAATTCAATAATACTTGGGGTTGTTTTGATTCTTACTCCTGGTTGTACAAGGTAAAACAAGCTTCTCTGCATTGAAAAAAGATATCTTGACATACATTACTGGGATGGCTATTTTCTGTGGGTGAACTTTTCTTCCTAATGGTTTTTCAACTCTACAAAAATTGGGTCTCTATCAAGAGCACTAATACCTCTGTCTTGTGGTATGAATGAAGTGATGTGAAGTTGCCTTGAGTATATGTAATGACACTTTGAAATAGAAAACATGAAAAAATATAAAAACAAAATTAAAATTTAAGAATATGAAAAGAAATGAGTACAATGCCTAAGGCAGATCAATTTGTCATTTCTGTATTGGAGATGACATATTTATACAACAGTTTGAACAGCTAAGTTAATAATGGTGTTGTTTCTAATAAACACATTATATGAATATTGACTCCATTTAGCTGTGGTTGCACATATATATCCTCTAATAGATGACCTGCCCCATATTTTCTTGATGCTCCAGTATCAAAAATAATTGGTCATAAACAAAGTGTCAGCATCTCTGATTAATTTTACTCCTAAATATAAAAATATAGAAATGTAAACATAGATATTGAAAAGAATATTTCAAAGTGCATTGTTCCAGCTTTCTTGTCAACAACTAACAAATTTGATTTATTTCTTTTAATATGAATCTGCCATAATTAATACAGTATGTTACCTAACTCCATGCCTCTTCTTCTTTGAGAAATTAAATTTAGAAATTATGGGAGGGTTGAAAGTTTTTCAATTGATTGGTAGGAAAAGTATATTGGGGTATTGTCTCCCATTTTATTAGATGTATATTTTTAAGGTTTTTTTTTTCCTACCAGACATTTATACCCTACTTTTAATTAGGCTAATGTCATTGTCCTTTGCAACCAGGGTGAGGTTTATACCATGTTTTTTTTAATTATAAACCTGTCATTTTACATTATAAACCCATCATCTAGATAAATGTACCTTCATTTTTTTTTTCAAATAGAGTCTTATCACTAAATTTCAGTGCACTCAATATTGTAGCTCCTTCCATCCCAACCAAGGTATTTTGTGTTCCTCGTATAAACCTTGCCACTTGATTAACAGTCTTTTTCTTTAATAGACTATCATTTGTTCTTTCAACTATTGTGCACTTATGGTATCAGGCACAAGTAGCCAGGAGCAGGAGTTTGCTTCAATACACTAAAAGTTTATTACATGCTACCTATACGCAAGAATCTGATCTACTAATAGTCAAGGGAAATTAGCAATAGGTAAGAGTCAATCAAATTCACAGGGGAGGAGGCTGATAATCACCTACATTAGGTAGATTTATAATCAGTATTTTAATATTAAATATTGACTAACTGACAACTCAAAATTACAGAGTTTAGCAGGTATTTTGGGGGAGGATGTTGAGAAGACAGTTAACACAATCAGATCAAAACCCATTATTACAGTCATAGACCAGCATAAGAAGAATGGGGATATAAACAATTAGTAATTTTAAAAGCTAAAAAGTTTAAAACACTCCAGATTTAAAATTTCTGGTTTTTTTTCAGATAACATAAATCTTTTGCAGTTATATTTTTTGAAGGATTCTGACATGAAGCTTGACTCACTTTGGATTTTCAAAATGTTACAGTCATTTTGGATTGAGGTATTTTGTTTAGTCCTTAAATTACAAATGTGTCTAATTGTGTATTTTCTCTTCATTTGATTTCCTTTACAATGTCTTGGTTGAACTGTTAGAAATGCTGAAAATATGAAAGATATGGCAGGAAGAGAAGCAGAATTTGAAACATATGTGCAGATATGTTATATAAAAGCCAGAAATAACTATTCTTAATCTCATTTTACTAATACGTGAGTTTGATGCCCTGTCTCATTTTTCAATAAATTGAATTAAATTGGAACTGTCACTGGATTCCAAGAGTAATTTTGACAGGTTTAGAGATGGGCGTTATTCAGTGTTCGCTGTATTTTAATTCCTCTGGGGGGGGGGGGGGGGGGGGGGGGGGGTTTTTGTGCGTGATATAAAGATATTTAGGAAACTTACTCAAGTAATATGTTTGAATTTATTATCTACTTTGACATAGTCAGAAATGATTTAAGCAGTTCCTTTGAATATGTTTGAATACTTTTGGATATCCACTTTTTTAGACATCAGTGAAATAACTTTTCTATGCTGAATCATCCAACTGGGGATTTGCATTTAGTTGGGGCATAATGCAAGTGTTCATTAGGTGTGCAGAGTCTAGCTGTGTATGCAACAATGTGAGAGGAAAAAAGAATTAGAGAGCCTGTGCAAATAGTGATTAAGTTGTTGAGCTCAAACCAAGAGGACATTCTCAACCAAGGAGCTCACATGGCTTAACCCATGTCACATGGCTAATGATGAGAATCAAATCGAGAGAATTGCCTTGAACAAAAACCCAGATATAAATGCAGCAATAAAACAATCACTTAAGGTGGGATTACCCAACAGATTTACAAAATTTCAAGCAGCTTTCTTTAGTCTCTCTTTTCTTTTTTCCCTTCCATTCAGCCATGTTCAGTTCATGGAGATTGCTTGGACTATTCCCTTCATTTTTCTTTCTTTCTTTCTTTCTTTCTTTGGTAAATTTTATTTGAGTTTTCACAAAAACAAAAGAAACACAATTAAAACATCTTTTTTGAAAGCAGCATAATCCCAGGTTACATTTCTTCGTACAGACACAATTTCAGGTTCATGATCATTTTTATATTCTATTCCATATCTTATTACAATTTTACACATTTACACATAGCTTCTCCTCTCTTTTAATTTCCTCAATTTTATTATATTTATTTCATCTCAATTCAAATCATTATATTTATATATTTTTGTCTGTCCTGTTTCAATTGTCTATTATCTTTTCTCATTAAACAAAATTTCTCCTGTAGTTACTGATTGGAGTATGACACCTTTATATCTTTCCCCTAAAGTTATAACACTCAATATAATACATAGCTTCCATTCAGATTCTGTTTGGTACATTCTTAAACTACACACAATATTCTTATAAAAAAGAAAAAATTATAAATGTATATCATTAAAACAACATTCCATTCCAATTCAATTCTGTCATTAATATTAAAATTCATTAAAGTCTTAAGATTTTTCACGTTACTTTTCAATTAAATATCATATTTCTATGGGAACAATTATTAGCTTTCCATAATCAATTCCCCCCCTCTTCACTTATATTTTAAAAAACATTGACTAATTAAAGTGTTCCCATTCCTTCCTAATTCAATTTTCTCATTTATTTTATTTCATTTACTTTATTCACAAACATTTCACTAAGTTACACTAACCATTCTATCCCTCATTCTAATCATATGTTGTTTCCAATTTTCTAAAGTTATTTCTATTTCAAATATAACAACACAATCTCATGTACCTTTACAGAATCCCCCTTTCAGTTAAATTTTTACCCATTATCTCTAAATAGGTCCTGTTTCTTTATATCTTGCTCCGGACCTTTGTGACTTCTTTTTCTTTCCTTCTTCCCTCTCTTCTTCTCCCTCCCCTTTTTACCCCTTTGTCTCTCTACCTCTACTTTCCCCTTCATTTTTCTTGAGAAGGTTTTTCAGAAGTGGTTTGCCCTTGCCTCTTTCTTAAGGCTGAGAGAGGGTGACTGGCCAAAGGTGACCCAGCTGGCTTTGTATCTAAAGCAGGGCTAGAATTCAATCTCCCAGTTTCTAGCCTGATGCCACTACACCAAACTGACTCTTAGCCTCTTTTACCTCCATGTATACATGCAGGCAAGTGAGAATTGTGGGAGAAGGAAGGGTCCCAATGTTGCACATTTCTCCATGCTTCTCTTTCCAAATCTTTCCCAGCTGTCATTCACCTGATCTTTTATTCAGATTCTGCAAATGAAAGTGCATGAAGTGTCCAGGGAGTTGAGCTTATTTGTTTCAAAACAAAAATGGTGCAGGCGCAGCATGGACACTGTTTTCAGTACTTCCTGGAATAATGATAACACAGTAGCACCAGTATTTCTTGGGGATGCCAGGGGGACTTTTTCGGCTAATGCAATTATAAGAATGATTGATCATAAATACATGGTTGTGTATAAACATAGCAAGAAAGGTGGCTCTGATTAACAAACTACAGGCTTCTATTATAACTTTAGTGGTCCATGGGGCCAATGTGTGTGATCCACAGAATTGATTCTTATTAAACTTTAAACCTGAGGAATGCTGAAGACCTATTGTTTAACATAGGAGGAAAAATCCCTAGATTTAATTCAACAGATTTCCTTCAAAATAAGTTCCTTTTTAAAAAGCAGTAGAATACATATTCAAATACAGAGAGTTCAAATTGGGAAATACGCTGGAACAAGTACATCGAAGTCCAACAACATACATTAATTTTGTTGAATGCAGAACTATTTCTTTTTCTTTTTAGGTTGATCTTACTTTATTTGTTCATCTCAAAGAGGAATACATAATGCCTCTGCTTCCTGTCTCACAACAACTCACCCATGAGGGGGGTTGGGCTGAGAGTAAAGGAGTGGCCCCAATTCACTCAGCCCTTTTTTATGCCCGGAATTCATCGTTTCCCAGTTTCTGGCCCAGCACCATAACCATCACATGAAACTGACTGTCAACCAACAATTTAATGACCACCAAACAAAAATTTATAGGTTTATCTGAATTAAACTATTGAAATTACATTAGTATAAAAAACTGATAAAAATTCACCCAACCAAAATTCAAGCATTGAATAATTGTGACTTCTACAGATATATTCAGATGTTGTTTGAACCCAATTTAATACAATTGGAAAAGAAATACAATTCTTTCTCTCTGTACTTTCTCTCTTTCTATGCCTCTAATTCCTAATCCTAGTAGTATACTTTCATCCTTGAAATAACCCCACTATTTTTTTTCTGAAATGACGTTTTATGTATACCATATGGAAAACCACAGTTATAGTATTGATATTATTGGACTCAAGGCAAGTTTATTATAGTGATGTATTTTCTTTAGATAACATGCTGGATAGTATTTTGGGCTAGAATAGCTTTATGGAATGTCAGTAGGTTCCAATACATTCACAGAGAAAACCAACTTTTTCAAAAATGATGGTGAAAAGCAAATGCTTGGTAGAAGCTGGAGATGAAAATTGTTTTCTTTATTGTGAACAAAATACACTATGTACTAACTTAATTTGGAACAAATTCTGAAGATACTCAAGCCAACTTCCATGGTTGCATCTATGAGTTTCTATGAACAATAAATTAGAGATCTGCAAACCTAATAATATACGGCATAAATAACTAAATGAAAGGAAAAGGAGAACAACAGAGAAGTAGAGCAGTCTTAGGTAGATAGTCTCAATGATAATGTAGAAAGCTCAGCTTTGAGGTCAAGTATGTTCTCTCTTGGGTTTCAGTAATCCTGTCTTAAGGTTATGAAACAGAAACCATATCATGAGTAATAACTAACAGTTTTCTGATGGTGGAATCCTTGAGCAACTGCTCAAGACCTGACAGCCCTTGAAAGTAGACCAAATCTGAAAACCAAAGACATGTAAACTATTATTCTTTTATTATAGGATTAGAGTAGCAGAATCTTGCAAGCATAAATACAGTTCCCCTTTCCCATCCTTTGTCTTCTTGACAACTAGGGAGAGTCATGTCTGTTTTCCCAAATTACATTTCTGCCCCAGGTTCAGATTTTTTAAATCTATTACCTTGGTTTTGGCTCTTCTTCCTGTTCTCCAAGGTTATTCCTTCTGCCCTTTACAAAATCCATTGATAAGTCGTATCAAGGTAGTCCAGGCAGAAACCAAAACCCTGAGTACTAACACTATCTTTATTCTAAGGTTACAGTGGCAGAATTTTGCAAAGCTGAAAGTACTTTTCCCCTCCCTTGTCTTCACTTTTCAATAATTAGGGCGTGTCCCTTCTGAGATGCTTTCCACCTCTGTTCCTTCTGTGGACTGAAATAGCCCTGCTGAAGCTCTTCTGTCTTCCAAGATTATTCTCACAACCCATTTCAGACTGCTATATCTCTGAATATAAAACCAAAGTACAGTTTCCCATGGTCTGAAGCTGACGAAGCAAGAAGGCAAAGAGTTATGGTTTGCGCTATTCTCAAACTTTAAATTCAAATTTAAATAGCAAAAATAAACAATTGAATACCTAAGTGCTTATTCATGATGTTCCTGGGAGGCAACAAAAGTTCTCTTGTGAGCTTGCAGAACTAATAACTGGAACGTCTTATTGGGAGGATGTTGTAATACACCTGGGACTGTATGGTACATGAATGTGGTTCCACAGGTCATGGAGACTGCATGCCATTCTCCTACCACCGAGAGAAACACCAGAGCAGCCCTTGTTCCACCCCTCCCTAATTACAGCCTGAGTAGAGGTTGCAGCATCAAATCACTGCAAAACACCCAGGATTCCTTTTGCACAGACCTGGAACAGAATCCATATGCAATCTGGCAGTTCTCTCCATGTAGAAACCGGGAAAAAAACAAGGAAGAGGAACATGGTGACCTACAGGAAGATCTGAAGCTTCCATTTAGACATCTGCTTGGATAAGCAGCACTAACCTTTATACACCATGACAAATAACACTGCTCCTATCTCTCCACCCCCCAGAAATCATCGTCCTGTACCAAGGAGAGAGTGGAATTATGTGCAGTGAAAGATCACCAGGGAGACTCTTATTTAACAAATTCCATGCCTGAAAACAGGATAGCATCTTGAATTCAGCACACCTACTCAGACCTACAATGGATGTCGAAATTCTACACCCCCCTGGTAAAATGTGTGAATCGGATTGATTAATTCTGAACATAGCCACATCCCTAGTTATAAAAGGGTGTGCACACTTATGCAGTGACTTTGTTTAGTTTATTGCTATTTTTCCCTCTATAAGATTTCAGTTCAGTTTGTTTTTCAGATGAATTGTATAGTTTATATGTAATATTAAAAGTTATATTAAACTACTCAGACTTTTTATATCCAGTGTAGATAGAGAGATATCAGGGAAGCCCAGAACTGGAGTCGGGAAAGATTGGAGAATTAAAATGCAGTCACAGAGACAAGGTGGCAATGACAACTCAAGAAAACTATGGGAATATTCACAAAGAGGCAAACTTAACTCAAATATATAATTACTTTTATTTTACATTGACTTTGTTATTAACTAATGAAAAAACTAAGGGAACACATATGTTACTACTATCTATCTATCCTATCTATCTATCTATCTATCTATCTATCTATCTATCTATCTATCTA